CAAAAATTGACCCCTAGAGCCCAAGACTCAGGGTGGAGGATCTTCGTGGCTGGGGCCACACCCAGGCCAGCCCAGCCCTTCAGACTCTGCCAGTCACAGTGGGGTGGGCGCTGGAGCTGGAAGAGGAAACAGAGCCTCTGCCAGAGTCACCACCTGCCCCCAACCTGCTTCTCCTCTGAAGGCCCAGCAAGGTCCTGTGTGCCCTCCAAGGACAGAGGAGGCTGCTGGCTGTGCCTGTGGGAGGTGGCCTGGAGCACTGTGCTCGGGGCAAAGCTGGCCCTGTGGAGTTTGAGTTTGCCATTCCAGCCTTTGTTTACTCCTTTGTACCTTGAGCACCATCAACTGGGTGCCAGGCCTGTGCCTGTATTTGGCAGCGTGGTGGGAGCCAAACAAATAGTAGAGAAGCCTCAGGTCTTTGGGGTGTTGCCCTTCCACGACATGGCCCCAGACTGAGCTCTCTGCCATTTTGCAGAGCTCTTCCCTTCCACTTGCTCTTGAGGAGGGGCCAGAGAAGCTGCCTTTACCCCATGAGCTCTGAACCCTCTCCTATCTGGCTGTCCCCTCATCCTCTCACCACCCACTCCCACTCCCGATGGGAGCCTCCAGCCCAGCTTAAGAACCCTGCCCATAGCTGCACTGATGCCCTTGGCTTTGCTATAGGGAATGAACACAGCCAATCCACACTCTGGGACAGCCAGCTTGTGTCCAGCCCCGGGTGCAGAGGGGTCAGTTTAGGGAAGGACATCAGGACCTTGCCTATGCACCTGGCTCAGGGTCCCCAGAGATTTGGTGGGCTAAGGGTGGGCAGGAGAATACAACTCACAGCCAAAAGGAAGGTGCTTCAGTTCCCTACTTCTCATTTCCTCTTACCCTGGCTGCACCAGGGCCATGCCCCTAATGGAAGCTTCACTTTCCTGCTTATCTGGTCTCAGATGTTACCGTTTTTGTTGTTATATATTATACGGAGAGATGCCCTAACTGGTTCTTGCTGCTGCACGGGCAGGCTGTCAATTTATATGGGTTTATCTTACAACTTTACACCTTTTTGGTTTCTCTTACAAGATTTGCTGTTTGTTGCTTCTCTTGGTTTTTCTACACTGACATTTTACCACTGAAAGTAATGACAAATTTGTCTTTTCCTTTCTAATACTGATGGCTCTTTTTTATTTTCCTTGTTTAATAGCTTGGCTGAGACCTTCAATACAATACTGAAAAACAGTAACCACTAGAGCATTTGCATATTGTTTCTCACTTGGGTGCCTCTGGCCCCTCCCTGTCGAGTGCACTTGCTATTGATTTTGGGTAGATGGCCCTTTTCTACTTAAAAACGGTTCAGTCTAGTTCTAGCTGACTCTGATTTTTGTTTATTTTAGAGGCTTTTGTTGTTGTTGTTGTTGTTGTTAGAATCTTTCATTCATGCAACAGACCTTCAGTGAGCTGATTGCCAGGACTACGTGGTACGAAAGAAACATTGACATGGTCGCTACTCATAAGGAGTTCATGGCCTGTTGGAGGACAGAGGCAGGCAAATAGATCCTTATCCTTAGGCCATGGGGCATGCATTCAATCACCATCTGCTGGCACTGTGTTGGGCAGCAGGGATGGGCACTATTCAGGCAGGCCCCCATCACAGTCTGGTGGGGTCCAAGCAGCTCACATTCCCTCTCACTCAAGTTCCCACAAAGTAGTTGCAATGCTGAGCTGAGGTTTTTTCTGCTGCAGACGCCAGGTGGGTACGTAACCAAAAGTTCCTGAGAGTTAATCCCCTGGAGCAACCTGAAACCAAGGAAGAGGGAGAGTCGGTAGACACGTGCCCAGCTCCTTCCGCCCTTGGGTGGGACAACCGTGGCTTGTGTTTGCTGCCCGCTCTCAACTAAAGACTGAGCCTCAGTTGCCTGCAGAAGGAACCCACTCAACCCACCTACCTCCTTTAGCTTCATTTCCTTCCCTGTCTCACCCCCTCTCCCATTTTATATCAAGAACTGTGAAGGCTGAGATTTTATCCAACTTTCAGGCAAACAAGGTAGTCTATCATATCTCAAGAATCATGGCAGAAGGCACAGAACTCCTGGTTCAGAAACAGAGAACAGATTATTGTTTACAGTAACAGCAGTAGACAGGGTAAAAGCATTTTCTGGCACCACTTCCCTGAACCCCAGTTCCCACAGAGTGATGTGATGATGGCCCGGCAATGCCTACGAATGCATTGGATTGCATACAGTGGAGAACCCTGAATTTAGGGGACCACATCTTTTATAATAATCTGCAAGCAAACCTGCCCAGCTGGGAGATGTTATTTTTAGGAATATGGGACAATAATCAAATCTGCCTTTTGCCCTTTAGCTACCAAGGCTACTCACTATAATAATCACCCCTGTAAAGATTGTTTAGAACAAGGGCAACCAGTGCCTCTACTGGCAAGTATACAGAAATAGGAGAGAACCATGGAGAATTGTCTGTCTATACCCTAATGGTGCTTCTTGGCATCACCTCCCACATAATCTGTTTGCATTTGGATGTTTGTCTCAGAGTCTGTTTCTGCGGAGAAACTCAAGATAGAGAGACAACACTACATGGGCATCAGTGTATTTCTGGAGTGACTCTCTTTCCTCTGGACCTGTCCTGCAAATAACGCAGGGGAGCCATGCAAAGGAAGAGGTTTCCTCACCTAGGATCAATACTGCTGGGACTCCAGGACATGTGCTCTAAAGGACTCTTAGAATTTCATTTTTAATGTTTAATATTTGGTCCACTTGGTCTGTTACCACTCTCTTCTTCTCTTTTTTTTCAGACAAACTCTCACTCTGTCACCAGGCTGGAGTGCAGTGGTGTGATCTTGGCTCACTGCAACCTCCAACTCCCTGGTTCAAGCGATTCTCCTGCTTCAGCCTCCCAAGTAGCTGGGATTACAGACATGGGCCACCACAACCTGCTAATATTTGTATTTTTTTTTAAAGTAGAGACAGGGTTTCACCATGTTAGTCAGGATGTTCTTGATCTCCTGACCTTGTGATCCACTCACCTCTGTCTCCCAAAGTGCTAATTACAGGCGTGAGCCACAGCGCCCGGCCCACCACTCTCTTCTAATCTGCCTGTGACCTGTTCCTTAGAGTATGTCACAAACATACAAGTGACCAGTTTCCAATAAATTGATTAAAGAGTTCATGTGCATTCCCATCACTGTGATTTGACAGTGCTGGTGCAGTGTGAGACAAACCCGAACACCCACTCTGTGATGACACCGTTCAGGTTCCAGGGCAACGCAGGGAGGTGCTTCGGCTGACTGCAGAGCGAACACTACTTCAGCCTTCACAGAGAATTTGACTGTGAGTAGCGAAGATTTCTTTTCTTCTCTTTTGGAGAAGAGTTTTGCTCTGTCAGGCAGGAGTGTAATGGCGCGATCACGGCTCAGTGCAGCCTCAAAATCCGGGGTTCAAGTGATCCTCTGACCTCAGCCTCCCAAGTAGCTGAACTACAGATAGGCACTGCCCTGCTTGGCTGATTAAAAAAAAAATTTTGTAGAGAAAGGGTCTCACTGTCTTGTCCAGGTTGGTCTCAAACTCATGGACTCAAGTAATCCTCCCACTTTGGCCTCCCAAAGTGCAGGGATTGCAAGTGTGAGCCACTGCACTCTGCTAAGATTTCTTTTTATAAGAACATTTAGCAATATTTAATAACAATTTCAAGAAGTTAAGTAAAATTTTAGTTTAAAATCTTCTTAATTTAAATTGCAATATGATTATAACATAGTTTATCTATTTTGCCTCAATTTTATTCGGTGATTTGGATTACTTAAATAACTTTTCAGGCTGGGTGTGGTGGCTAACATCTGTAATCCCAACACTTCGGGAGGCTGAAGTGGGTGGATTGCTTGAGCTCAGAAGTTCAACACCAGCCTGAGCAATGTGGCAAAACCCTGTCTCTATAAAAATTACAAAAGTTAGCCAGGTGTAGTGAAGGGTGCCTATAGTCCCGGGTACTCCAGGGGGCTACAGTGGGAGAATCACCTAAGCCTGGGGAAGGTCGAGGCTGCAGTGAGTCATGACTATGGCACTGTACTCTAGCCTGGGAGACAGAGTGAAACCCTGTCTTTTTTTTTTTTCTTTTTTTGAGATGGAGTCTCACTCTGTCCCCCAGGCTGGAGTACAGTGACGTGATCTTGGCTCACTGCAACCTCTGCCTCCTGGGTTCAAGCTCTTCTTCTGCCTCTGCCTCCCAAGCAGCTGGGACTACAGAAACATGCCACCACGCTCAGCCAATTTTTGTATTTTTTTAGTAGAGATGGTGTTTTGCCATGTTGGTCAGGCTGGTTTTGAACTCCTGATCTCTGGTGATCCACCTGCCTTGGCTTCCCAAAGTGCTGGGGTTACAGCCATGAGCCACCACGCTCAGCCCTTGAGACCCTGTTTAAAATAATAATAATAATAATAATAACTTTTTAGGCCAGGCACAGTGGCTCACTCCTGTAATCCCAGCACTTTGGGAGGTTGAGGTGGGAGGAGAACATCCCACGGAGCAGACACTGGGCGGTGGGCCTAGGCTGTCAGCAGGAGTGGGTGGCCACACTGGGGTGGGAGGCAGGAGGTCGGTGAAGTTTGAGGTGTCAGTGAGCTATGATCAAACCACTGCACTCCAGTCTGGGTGACAGAGCAAGACCCCCCAAAAATAACTAAAATTAAGGGCAGTTCACGTCTGAAGTCCCAGGGCTTTGGGAGGCCAAGGTGGGAGAATCCCTTGAGCCCAGGAGTTTGAGACTAGCCTGGGAAACATGGCAAAACTCTATCTGTACAAAAAATACAAAAAATTAGCGGAGTGTGGTGGCACACACATGTCGTCCCAGCTACTTGGGAGGCTAAGGTGGGAGGAACCAGGCAAGCCTCTATTCTCACTTAGACCTCAGGTCACTGAACACCTGGACATAAGTTTTAATCATTACATTTCATCATTTTGGATATATGCTGACTTTTAGACATAAAAAAACCCCCATAGATTTATGGATGTTTTACTGCTATGAAAGCTTATTTGTTCAGTAGGAGGATAGAACACATTTTATGGGCAGCTTGATTTATGGTGGTTTAATATTTAGATTCTGGTCTGTGGACCTCCATTTGTTCTTTTGCCCAGAGCACTGCAAACATCAAGGCCTATGCTCCAGGTGTGCCCACAGGTACTTCTTGCTGTAAGAGAGACCAGAGAAAGAGCTCTCCTGGGACTCATGTCTCCATGGGCTCATGGTAAAGCGGGAGCTGGAGGGGTGAGGTAAGATGCAGGGGAAGATGCTGGGGAGAAACGAAAATCAGCAAGTCTGCACATTTTCTCCTTTCAACGATTCATAAGGCAAGTGATAACATTGTCCCCAAAACAGAGGGGGAGGCCAGGCGCTATGGCTCACACCTGTAATCCCAGTGCTTTGAGAGGCCAAGGCAGGAGAATTGCTTGAGCCCAGTTCAGACCACCCTGGGCAACACGGTGAAACTAGATCTGTACAAAAAATTAGTGGAGTGTGGTGGCACGCACCTGTAGTCCCAGATACCTGGGAGACTGAGGTAGGAGGATCGCTTGAGCTCGGGAGGTAGAAGCTGCAATGAGCCAAGATTGTGCCACTGGACTCCAGCCTGGGCAACAGGGTGAGACCTTGTCTCAAAACAGAATAAAACAGCTCTCTCGGCCTTAGCGCCATTTTTTTTTGGAAACCCCTGCACCATGGGAGCCAAGTGGAGGAAGAAACGAATGAGCAGGCTGAAGCGCAAAAGAAGAAAGATGAGGCAGAGGTCCAAGTAAACCACTAGCTTGTTGCACCATGGAGGCCACAGGAGCAGAAACATGGAATGCCAGACGCTGGGGATGCTGGTACAAGTTGTGGGACTGCATGCTACTGTCTAGAGCTTGTCTCAATGGATCTAGAACTTCAATGCCATCTGATCGCCGATCACCTCTGAGACCCACCTTGCTCATAACCAAAACTGCCCATGTTGGTCCTTTGCCCTGGATATTAGTGACATTAGTGACATTCTGGACTATTTCTGTTTACTTGTGGCCGAGTGTAACAACAAAATAAATCACCTCTTCTGCTGTCTTAGCTGAAGAATTAAAAAATAATAATAATAAATAAATAAAATAAAACAAAACAGAAAAACAAAAACAGAATAGGAAACTGAGGCTCAGAGAAGGTTCATGACTTGCTCAAGTCATGGCACAGGATACCTAGCTGTAGAACCAACTGTAGCAGGACACTGGTGTCCCCTGCAAACCCATAGCTCATTCTACTCAGGTCAGGTGGGCCCCAAGTCAGCTTTATTCACACCAGGCTCTTTACAGCCATGGCCAGCCTGACCTGGGTGCAGGCACCACGGCCTTTAAGTGACAGAGAATGCAGCATTCCCACCCACTGCCAGCTGCCCCAGGTAGCCTCTGAGAACTGCCTCTCCAAAGTACAAGCACAGCAATGACCTGTGTCCCTGGGCTGCCCCCACTGCCCTCCTACAGGGGTGGGAGGACCTCTCTGCCATAGCCCCACCTCACAGCTGCCACCCACACACTGGGTCCTAGCCCTCCTGAACCCCAGCATTGACCCCACCTTCTCTGTGACATGGGAGTGGGTGGGTAGGAGGTTTGGAGCTCTGCTCAGTGAGGGCCAAGGAGTGACCTGAGGGTGGGAGGAGAAAGGTAAGTTCTTGCCGACACCCCTGTCCCGCCTTCGCCAGGGGAGTTCCCCATTCTGAGGGTAAATAGGTCATGAGTGGCTAAAAGGTTGTCCTAGTGCCTCCCAGCTGTGCCCACCCTGATCAGCTCACTCAGCACCCTCAGCCAGACTTCCAGGCCCCTGCTCTGACAATGCTGCCCCTGGAATCCTGTGATAAGAACACTCATGGCCATTCCCTTGAAATGTGGCCAGACCTCAACCCAGTCCCAGACAGGTGTCAGTGCCCACCCACTGCAGCCTCTACTCTGCATTCTCCAGGCGGACAAACCAAACCTCCAACAGGGCAGATGCATGTCATGGGTAGCCTGATGCCGAAGCTGGGGCCTGGGGCCCCTGCTGTGGGACAGGTAACTGTGGGCAAGACAAGGCTGACCTGAAGGAGTGACTAGAGCCAGAGGCAAAGGGGGCTCAGTGAGCAGGGCCTGGCACTGCTGACCCCACCTTGCTTCCCCTCCTACTCTCCGTTGGTTCTTCACACCCCCAGCTGCCCACTGGCCCAGGCAGGACACTCCTGTCTAACCTCCTGCTTTCACTCTGGGCCCACACCCACACACTGCCTCCACAGGTACACATGCCTTTTTTTCTCTACTAACACCTGTTTCTGGTCATCCACTCTGTGCTACGCTGGACACTGGGCACTTCAGAGCTCATGCTAGACCTAGCACTGGGATGGAGGAGTCTAAGGAGGCCCCTGCAGTCAGGGAGGGCTTCCTCGAGGCAGAGACCCAAGCTAAGGGCTCAGCACCCTCTCCCCCAACTTACCCCAGGTCACTGGCTGTCCTCTGAGCCTCACTCTCTGGAAGGGCCAGCAGGTTCCAGGAAGCATCCCCTCACCCTGCAGTCCTGGTTCCAAGAACTGCAGCTTTTGGCAGCATTTGCTCAGATCCTTTCCTAGAACTCAGGGCCTGCTCTGCCCAGACTGCTGGGGTCTCAGAGGGCAGCCAGTGGGGGTAGTGGGGAACGGGGTGCTCTGGGGGTTCCTCCTTAGGGAGAACATCCCACAGAGCAGACACTGGGTGGTGGGCCTAGGCTGTCAGCAGGAGTGGGTGGCCACACTGGGGTGGGAGACAGGAGGTCAGTGAAATACAGGCACTTTGACTACCAGTCAGCCATGGGCTGCGGGCCCATGAGTTCTGCCTGTACATAGAGGAGGCCCACTCCCTAGGTCCAGAGCTTGCCCCAGCTTGCCACACTCCACCCTCCAACTTCCCACTCCCCCCACTAGCCTGGCATCAGGGTCCCATCCCATAGGGAATCAGCACAGGCCTTACCCTCAGAGTAGGCCCTCATCAGATAACTTCCAGAGGACAGGCCAGGGTGCAGGACAGGCAGCAAGGTCTGAGCACAGAAGCGGAATAGGGTCGTCAGTCTTGGGGGACTTGGAAAGCCGTGACACTTGTGTTATTAATCCTGTTATAATTTTACCTTGTCTGGTTAGAACTGAATGAACCACCTCACCTCACACACCCTCAGCGAGTTGGGTCAGGTGAATGGGGGACAGGCCCTGATAAGTGGTCAAGGACAGGGCCTAACTTCCCTCAAAGTCACCGGGCTTCCCCCTGGGGCGTGTCCTCCACCCGCCACCTCTGAGCTGGCACCAGGCCTGCCCAGCCTCCTGGGACCTGCCAGATCACGTTGAGCAACCGGTTCCTGAGAAGCGTTGAAGGCAGTGTGGTTTAAAATTAACTCCCCCGCTCCCCCTCCCGCCTGCGGCCTCCTCTGAGTTCTTGGAAGAGGCGCTCTGCTCTTCCTGGGAAGAGGCCTCCAGCCGCAGCTGCTGCAATTCTGGCGAAAACACCTCACCCAGGCTGGGGGTGGGGGGTGCCCACGCCAGGCCTTCTCTGCCCTCCTCAAGGCCCAGGGATCCTCTGGATCTAGCACCCACTCCAATTACTCACTGAGACCCAGAAGAGAAAGGAGATGATTGTCAAGGTACTGGGAGTGGGCGTTCCTGCCCCCAAAGTCCACAGCTCCCAAGCAGGCACCTCTGGGTAGGAGAGGGAGTGAACTGATCCCACAGCAGCAAACCCAGAACCCTGGCCTACTCTGAGCCATATATGTCCTGGAGGGAAGCAACAACCAGCCCAGGGCCACCCAGCTTCACCTGCCCTTATAAGCTCAGCCTACCCACTAGGTGCCAGGCTGATGGTGCTGACCTGGCAAGGATGCCCGGGAGCACACCCCCACAGGCACTCACACGCCAGGGTTAACAGTGCTTCTGCCAGGGAGTCCCCTCCTTGTCTTTCACCCACACCCCTCAGACTACCCTTGGAACACCTCTCCTGGATAAGCCTCATTTTCTCGTGTCTCATGGGCTCCATGTCTCTGGGGATTTGGAGGAAATGTTTCCTGAGAACCTACTCTCCCAGAAGCTCCTCCTCCCATGGCCATCCTCTTGAAGGAGCTGAGAAAAACAAAGGAATGTTGGCCAAGTGGAAAGATCAATGCATGTGCACACCACATACACACACAGACACACACACAGACACACACACACAGACACACACAGACAGACACACACACACACACACACTCGAGTGATGTCTCTGACATGGGGCTGGCAGGGGTGGGAGCAGTGAAATGCTTCCTGGGAGGAGGCTGAGGGCTGAGAGGCGTTTTGAAGAACAGAGCTTTGGCCCACTCTGGACTATGAGTGCAACCCCCACTCTGGTGGAGGAGCCCAGCTCCAGTGACAAGAAGGGCCGCATCTGGCTCCTGGGTTCTTGGTGTGAAGAGAGTCCCTGGAGCAGGATTCTGCCCTGAGGAGCATTTTCTGGACACCAGCCCCCGAGGCATGCCATCAGGGCATCATTGGTGCCAGCATAAGCATCTCACTATTAGGGTTTGTGTGGGTGAGACAGTGCTGGAGGTTGCCTGGAGGAGTCATGGCAGTCCTAGGTTCCTGCAGCCCTCAGAGGCTACCTCTGGCACTTGGCCCTGCCTGCTCCAACCAGGCCTGGGTCATGGAAGCAACTGTCTTTCCACTGAACAGGAAGCTTTGGCCATATCACAAGGCTCCCTGCCCTGGGCCTGCTATGTCTCCTCCTGCTCAGAGATGAGCATCAGTTTCCATTTACTCCCCATTCCCCAGCATCCAGGCCCAACCACTCTCCAACCACCCTGAGGTTTGCATTATGGTCAAAATTAAACCTCCAGGGACCTCCGCTATCTTGAGTCTCAGACATGGGAACTCCAGCCTCCTGCCCCAGAGTGACTCTTGGAGTGACCCGTTGGGTGGCCCACGTGAGCCAGGGAGGGGTAGGGAGGACACATCCACCATGAGAGGCTGTTGAATTTCTGGCAAAGCTCAAGCCTACTTCATATTAAAACTGGTCTAGCAGGTTGGTGTCAATGGCTGCCCAGGCTTGCCCAGGGTCTACTTCTGGAGGAAGAGGGCCTTTATGAGAGCTCAGGAAGTCTGGGATGTCCTGTGCACAGACCCTGAGTCTTCCTGCCTTCTTCGCCAGGCCTCTAGGCCTTTAGGCCCCCGGCCCCTCACCCTTCCACTTCACTGTGGGCAACCGTGCAGGGTGGGAGGGTCCCTACCTGAGAGTGAGGTGTGCCTAGTCATGGGCCCCAGCCCTACTCAGACGTGTGTCCAGCCTTGGCCAGGAGAGATTTACTCAGTCAGTGGATTAAAAGTCCAGCCTAGGTGCAGGGACTAGTGAGATTTATACGCGGGCCCCAATGATACCCCAGTGGCGTGGCTGGAAGGGAGGGTGGTATCCAGCAAACAGTCTTTGGGGGCAACAAGAAATACGTGGATGGCTTAGTAGCATCTCTGTCCCAAGGGCGTTCCAGAGGAAGACCTGTGAATCCAGGGAGGGACACCACACAGGATCAATCTCCATCTCACCTAGAGGCAGAATCCTCTAGGGCCCAGACCCCAGACCCCCTCCTCCAGAAAGCCCTCCTGAATCTCCCCATCTTTCTGCATGCCTTCTGAACCTGTGAGTGCTTAGGCTTTAGCAAGCCAGCCCCTTGGAGCCAGAATAGAGCAGTGGTTACACAAACAAGGTCTGGAATCAGGATGTGAACGCTGGCTCTGCCTCTTACTACCCCTCTCTGAGCTTTCTCTCTTCAGCTGTAGATGGGGACAACCTCTGCTAGTGGGGCAGGAACCCCGCCCAGAGTCACAAAGTTGCTGCCCTCACCTCCTCCTGCCCCTGCTCCCACACTCTACCCTCCAGATCCCATACTTCTCAACCTTCTTTCTGGCCTCCTGCCTCCAGGCCCTCATGCGTACGGATACCTCCCTTAGAAATGAGGATCAGATCCCAGCACTCCCCTGCTAAGCTCTGAAGGGGTGCTTTGTCATCCTTGAATAAAATCCACGTGCTTCCTTCGCCCTTCCCACCCCTCCTGGGCAGCTCCTCTGAGCTCTAGGTTTCTGCCTCAGGGACATTGCACCTGTAGTTCCCTTCACCTGGGACATCCCTTCTGCAAGTTGTCTGCATGGCCAGCTCCTGCTTTTGCCTGGCCTCCAGGCTCAGTGCCACCCAAAGTTGCAGAGCTATCCCCAACACCCCCTGCCCCTGGCTGCAGGGTGTCCTTGTACCCAAAGCTACTCTCCCCACCCCACACTCCCCCCTTTTCTTTCTTTACACTCTCAAAGCTTGTCCTATGTACTCATTTGTTCACCAGTCCACTGTCTCTCTCTCCCTCCCAATAGCCCATGAGCCCCATGAGGGTGAGGACCATGTACGTCTTGTTCCCTGCTGTCCCCAGGACCTAGATGGAGTCTGGCCCAGTTGAAGTCTTTGGAGCACATGTGCTGGTGATGGACTTAATGATAAAGCGTGACCTTAGTTACTGTTTGTCTGTTGTGCAGGGTCCTTGCACCCACTAGAAGGCTCATCCCTTTGTCCCTGGCTAGCATCAGCATGTACACTCCTTTTACTAGGCCAGGACCATCCGGCAGTGATCGTGTTGGCCAGAGGACCTTCAGTATCTATTAGGCTGAATCTCTAATTGGGGTCTGGGCAGGTGTCATTCACTACCCTGGTAGGGAAACATGAAAAGAAGTTTGAACCTGGAACATGTTGGGAGTCAGAAGTAGCTGGCAGCCCCTCCCCAGACAGGAGCTGGGCCCTGGCTTGAGCTGAGGCCAGGGTGAAGAGGACAGGACCTTGGTGGCCGCCAAGAGCTCTCAGCAGGCAGGGAGACCAGGAGATAGAAAATGGCGTCCAAGAGCACCTTGCCTGAAGCTGCCATCCCTGTCCTCCCCACCTCATGTAGCAATCCAGGGGACAAACGGGCAGTCAGGACCACCCAGGACGCCCCTCTGCTCTGAGCCCCACTTGTTGAGTGGCCTCAGTCAGCCCCTTGCCCCCTCCGAGCCTCGGTTTCCTCATCTGCAGAGTGTGGGTAATATTTCGACTTCACTCCCAAAGTTGTGGTGAGTGCTGCATGAGGTGCAGGCCCTCGCCCCATGCCTAGCACCTGGCAGGCGCCTTGAGACGTTTCCCTTGCAGACAAAGCAGAGTTCTCTGTGCTTCCTCTCGGCAGAGCAGCTTTCCGTCTAGGCTGTGGCATCAGGTAGGGAAGAACTTGGCACTGGCCCCTCTGTGTCCACTACTCGTCTGCTAGGTGACTCAGATTTAGGGGTGGAGCAGACAGAGGGGTTACCTCAGGCATTCTGGAAGCCATGAAGCAGCTGAAATCCAGACTGAAGGAATGAGGAACTGCAAATACCCCTGGCTGGGTCATGGTGACCTGGAGGAGGCGTGCCGTCTGGCCCTACCGACAGCCAAGGGCCCAGGCTGCTGCCAGCAACAGGGAAGGCACATGGCTGGCCTCCTGGGCCTGGGTGCCACATCCAGGAAAGACAGCCCTCCCTCCGTCACCCACCTCTTGCTCACTCTCACCCAACATCATGCCTATTCTTTGCCATGACTGCCTCCGTGTCCCCATGGTCCCGTGTGAACTCCATGGTTCTTGCCGTCTATCCTCCTCCTCACTCCTCCCTGTCATCAGCCTGTCACTCCTCACCCTTGCTCTCAACCTGCCAGGATGTATCTCTTCTACTCTAAGACTTCTAATTGTTTGAGGGCTAAGACAACAGGAAGATTAGGATTGTTTCCAGAATAAAGGTTAGAAAGCTATGAACAAAGTTTAGAGAGGTTTTCCTGTGGGGCCCTCAAGCAAAGGTACAGGAAATTTCGGGATACAGGGAGATCTCAGCAGCTAGTGTTCCCAAGTCAGGCTGTCCAGTAATGGTGTTTTCATTTTAATTGCTCTTCCACACACTTCTGGTGTGCTGAACCCTGAGAGAGAAGGGATCCCCCAATCCCATCCAGCCTGGACCAGAACCCGGACACCCCGGCCCCTCACTGGCTCCTACCCCGATTCAGTTACCCTGCCCCACTGCACAGAACAAGTCCTCCTCAGGTCACTGTCAGGAACGTGCCCCTCCCAGTCATGCCTCGGTGCCTTCGCACCACTGCGCCTTCTTCCTGGGAGAACTGGCCCTGACTTCTCTGACTACTGGTTTTCTCATCTCAAAAATCACTGACCCCAGGAGTGGTCCACAGCTGTCTCCCCGCTGGGTATTCTCCACTTGTGATTTGGAGTTGGCATTTCTTGTTTACACATCTCTCAGGGCTGGTGCACCTCTGCCACCCTCCCCCCAGGTCCCACCTGGCAGTGCTCTGGACAGTCACCCTGCAGGCAGTCCAACTGGCCTTCATCCCCTAGCTCCCATTTTCCAAGGGGACAGATGAGAGGATAGAGGCTGCCCCCTGTCTCCTTCACTCCTCAATGAGTCCCCAGCATGGACTGCTCAGCCACATAGGATTTCTGGGCCTCTCCACTTGCC